CTGTAGTCGTCTTTCACTGGGATCCCACCCGGAGGGCAGCCAGGTATGTGCTGCCAATTTTACTTTAACCTGTTCTTTAAACAATGGGTTGCAAAAAACTTAAGCCTGTTCTCATATTACATTAACTCATTATCAGCTCTGCTTATTAATGATGATTCTCTCACAGTATCATTTTCTCTGGATGATGAGTCAGCAGCTGCACCTGCAGCTGGAGGATACAAACTGGGACGATTCCAGGTAGCTTGCATTTACAATGCAATGACAGGAATAGGGTGTTCAGTGTTTGAGTATGACACCAGGTGGTACTCTTGATCTCTGTCTGTTCAGGTGTCAGCGGCTCCTGATGAGAACGCCCTGCAGGCTCCCACCACCTCCCAGGAATCATCCTCCACATCTTCTTCCTCCACCACCACCACCTCCTCTTCATCATCCTCCTCTACTCTCTCTAGCCCTGAAAACACGCTACACCGAACCTCCTCTCCCCTTAGAGACACGAAAGTAGATGAGGTTGATGGCCTCCCTGCTCTCCCCAATCAGATGACAACCCATTCCCAGCCCACCACCATTGGCCGTTTCCAGGTGACCACCAAGGCGGACTCGAAGGTGGGGCGTTTCTCAGTGAGCAGAGCACAGGACGAGGCTCTTGTGGCTAGCTTACAACCCCCAGAACCCCAGCCGGCACCTCCGGCCCATCCAGCGGTTGGGAATGGTCCAAGTCCCGGGAGCCTCAACAACTCGGTCAGCTCCTACTTCAGCAGCGACAATGACTCAGAGTTTGAAGATGAAGACTTTAAGAGAGAAGTCAGCAAGTTGAGGGAGAAGTATGTTTGTTTTTGATTAAGATATTGTAACAGGTGTTGGGACAGAGTAACATGTTAAAGATATGTGGAGTAATTGTGACTTCCTTGTTGTCTTCCTAGGCACATGATGGAGAGTCAGGCTCTATACACCCGGCAGAAGGCAGAGATTGAAGCACTGTTCACTCGCTTGGGCAAAGCACCTCCCGCCATGGTCAACCCTCCCGTTGTAAACCCAGCCGGCCGCAGACGACGTCCCACCAAGAGCAAAAGCAGCAAATCTAGCCGCAGTAGCTCACAGGGCAGCAAGACTCCTATACTGCCAGGTATTCACTTGTTCTGCTTTGCATTTTTGTGCAAATCAGGGGTTGGATTCACAAAACATTCTTAAAAATGATATTCTTCTTAACTGGTATTTTCTTCTTATTTTCTATCTTAAGAGTGAAGTTAAGAAAAGTTTTTGGGAATACAGAATATTTCTTAAGAATGTTAAGTTTCTTCTATGGAAAAAAACAGCTACTGTACATCTTGGATGGCAAGATGTAAGCAAATTTTCATCTTGAAGTGTACTATTCCTTCAAGAATTTTTTAAGAACTGCACTTAATGTAATTTCTTAACTACTTTTATAAGAAAGTCACATATATTTTGTGAATTCAGCCCCAGCAACTTCAAATCTGTGTTTGTGTCCTGGCTCTGATCAGCGCTTCTATATGTATGTGTTTTTGTCTGTGGTCTTACAGCAACCAGCACTTTATCTGTGCAGAGCGCTCCCTCTGTGTATCCGCCTCAGCAGGCCTTCCTGGCCCCTGGGGGGATGATAGACGGGGGGAGCAGCCCTCTGCTCCAGTCCTTCAAACCCTCCCCTTCTAGTGAGAACCTGTGTTCCGCTTACACCAGTGACGCCACGCTCTCTGCGCCCAGTTTGTGTGTCACCTCGCAAGGTAAAAATAAA